AAGATGCAAAGGAAGGTAAGCTATATATGGCTACTTTTGAAAAAATATTTTAGATATCTATGTTCAACGATAGATTAATAAATTTAATTATGTCTATTAAGCTAGAATGCCAACATGAGCATAATTACATGAAACATACGAAGGATTTAATTTTTAATTTTCAGGACAGAAGGAATTACTGAATAGTGAGAAGAGAGGTGCCCAAACTATAAACGAACTCTTGAAGACTAAAACTCAATTTCACAAACCTGGAGAAAATTATAAAACCGATGGATATATTGTAACACCAAATACACATTATCTGCTGCAAAAACATTTGAAAGCAACTGGTGGCAAAGTGGTAACGAGATTCCCACCAGAACCCAATGGAATTTTGCATATTGGACATGCAAAGGCTATTAATATCAATTTCGGGTATGCATATTCTTTGGTTTTAAAAGTGAAATATATAGTAAAAAAGATGAATCTCATAGATATGCTGCTGCTTATGATGGCATATGCTATTTACGATACGACGATACAAATCCTGAAAAAGAAGAGAAGAAATTTTTTATCGGTATACGGGAAATGGTGGAATGGCTCGGTTATAAAGCAGCTGCGATTACACATTCATCGGATTATTTCCAGCAATTGTATGACTGGGCCTTAGAGCTTATAAAGAAAGACTTAGCTTACATTTGTCATCAATCCAATGAAGAAATGAAAGGTTTCAATCCTCCACCGAGTCCTTGGCGTGATAGACCAATTGAGGAGAGCTTACAACTATTCAATGTAATGAAAAATTTTTCTGAGCATATTGTTCCCTTCAATTTTTATTATATACACATTTGTTTACTTGTTAAAAAATAGGATATGAAGGATGGTTTGTTGGAAGAAGGAGAAGCGACCTTACGCATGAAAGTAACTTTAGAGGAAGGCAAGCAAGATCCTGTCGCATACAGAATAAAATATTCGCCGCATCATCGAACTGGTGACAAATGGTGCATCTATCCTACATACGATTACACCCATTGCTTGTGCGATAGCATCGAAAATATTACTCATTCTCTCTGTACAAAGGAATTTCAATCACGGAGATCGTCTTATTATTGGCTTTGCAATTCCTTGAACATTTATTGTCCTGTACAATGGGAATATGGCCGATTAAACGTCAATTATACTGTAGTTTCCAAAAGGAAAATTGCTAAATTAATACAAGAAGGAATAGTGTCTGATTGGGATGATCCCAGGTATAGTCTAATATCACCTTTATAAGATTATCTAATAATGCCTTACTAATTTCTCATCACCTTTTTTTATAGATTGTTTACATTGACTGCGCTACGTAGACGTGGATTTCCACCCGAAGCTATAAACAATTTTTGCGCTCAAATGGGTGTAACTGGTGTACAAGCAACCATTGATCCTGCAGCATTGGAAGCAGCTGTTAGGGATGTTCTAAATCTTACTACTCCCCGACATATGGTGGTTCTAGAGCCTATCAAATTGACTATTAAAAATTTCCTTCAAGAGAAAGCCATAAAGCTCACTACATCCGATTTTCCTAACGAACCAGAGAGAGGACATCATGAAATTACATTTGATGAGATTGTATATATTGAAGCCACAGATTTCAAAGAAGTATGTAATGTATATATGTCTGCCTCTTTCTAAACACTTTTCGCAGTTATTTATCAATACTTTTTTATTTATCAATACTTACAGATTGAAGAGAAAAATTTTAGGCGCTTGACACCAAAGCAATCTGTAGGCTTAAAGCATACAGGTACTATAGTAACATTTGAAAGTATCGAAAAGGATGCCAGTGGTAATATTACGAATATAATTGTTAGACAAGATCCTGTCTCAGAAAAGAATAAACCGAAAGCATTTATACATTGGGTATCTCATCCAATATTGGCATCTGTTAGATTATACGAACGTTTGTGAGTAATATTTTTTCCAAATTATTAATTATTACGAAAAATTTGTTATTCTGTAATGTGATTGAAATATTTTTAATTCCTGCTCCCCCTTCTCAGGTTTAAGCACAAAAATCCAGAAGATATACATGAGGTACCGCATGGATTTTTAAGTGATATTAATCCATCCAGTAAAAAAGAAATTGTAGCGTACATGGACAATAGTCTAGCTAAAACAGCAAAAGTGTATGACAAGTTTCAATTTGAACGTATAGGCTTTTTCTCTGTTGATCCCGATACCAAATCTAATAAGGTAAGTACAATATAAAAGCATCAGTACATATGTACATTGCATTAATATTCTTTTTTATTTCAGCTTGTTTTTAATCGTACTGTAACATTGAAAGAAGATACAGGAAAGGTGTAAATATATTTTTCGAAATAGTATTGCATCATCAAAAATATCTACTATTTTTATTACTGTTAAGACCTGAATATAGACTTTCGTAAACGCATAAAGTGTAAGAAAATCAACCGATCGAAATCTTTTATTTTATCATGAAAAGCACGGAAATGAAGAACTATGATGGTTTATTTTCTTATGCATTATATATTGTGTGTTATGCAAGGCTCAATGCTTCCGCTCTGATACACTTTTTCTACGCTGAGACAAAATGCATACTTTACTGTCCGTTTCCATCTAACGGGAAAGGCGGATCCATGTGTATAAGATCTATAGTTATACAGGATGTCCCAGAATGACCGTCAAATATTTCGTGTGCTGGTAGAGTGGACTAAACTGAATCGAAAAGTTCTTTACCATTTTGGACTTTTCACAATAGTTAACATGATATTAATTACTAAAAATTGCCGAATATATATAGATTTTCAATAATTTTTTATTTAAGTACTATCAACTTTACAAAAAAAAACAAGAGACAAAAATTGTTTATTTTCTTCTCATAAAGTTCTAAAAATTTTTTAAGAATTTTTTAGTGCTTTTTCTCATGTTGGTAAAAATAGTTGCCATTAAGAAAATGCAGTACTAAAAAGTTGATAAAAAATTCTGAAAAAATTCTTAGAGCTGTTTGAGAAGAAAATAAATAATTTTTGTCTCTTGCTTGTTTTTTTTTTGTAAAGTTGATAATACTCGAGTAAAAAATTATTGACAATTAATATTCGGCGATTTTTAGTAATTAATATCTTGTTAACTATTGCAAAAATTGCAAAATGATAAAGGACTTTTTGACTCAGTTTAGTCCGCTCTATCAGCACATGAAATATTTGGCGGTCATTCTGAGACACCCTGTATATGTAATATATTAATTTCAAAATTTTTGTAATATACCATGTGTCAATACATTTTTTTACTACATTATATCTTTACGTTATGTATAACTTGTTATATTAAATTTTGTAAGCATTTTGATTTTATGATAGTTTCATGAATAAAGAATAAATCTATTAAAAGGATTACAGTGTAATTTTCTGCCTCTATTAATTCATCATACAAGATTCATAGGTAGGAACCATGTATTTAATATTTATGAAAGCATCTTCACCACCGTATCTTTCCAAGATTTCAAGCGTTTCTTGTATGATATCAGCAGCGTTCTCTCCTCTTTGCTGAGAATAATCGATACCTTCTCCAAGGTTTACTGAAATTACCCATTTTATTTCCAATTGCATATGAATATAGGAAGTATTAAAATATGAGTAAGTTACCATTTCTGTCTTTGAGTAAATTTGGGATAGGCAGGATTTGCCTAAAATACGGGACTAAAGCTTCACCAACGCAATCGGCCGATCGCACTAAACGTTGAAGTGCTTTCATCGTGGTACAGATTATCTCTGGCATTCTTGTATTCAAAGCGTCTAGCAAAGTTTTTTTAATTACGGTATATTTTTTCTACATTAAATTGGATTGTAGAACTTACTCTTAATAGGAATAATCAATTGAGGAACAACGGGCAATATCTTTGGTCCACCATGTTCCAGCATATCTGATATTCCTTGTTCTACCAGAAATTTATACGGTTGTTCCGTTTCCGTTAATCCATCGAAGAACATTGGCAAATAATGATGGAAATCTAAATCTTCTATGTCCACTTTCCAATTAATTTTCTGATCGTAACCGTTGTTCTCCAAAGAGATAGGGAATACACCGCGCTTGTAAAACTTTCTGAAAATCGATGGTTTCGGTAAACGAGGTTTATACAGTCCACATCGCGGCGGTTTTGCTACGACCGTGTTTTCCTGTGATCAAAAATTGACATGGTATTATCATACACTATATTCATCTCAATCATAATGAAAATTTCACTCTACATCTCAATATCGTCATTTTCTCAGGTCTAACTCCGATTACAACACACACACTTGTGTGATTGGCAGAATACTTAAATTACTTAAAACAATATCTCTAATATACAGTTCGTTTTTAATATTTTTTCGACATATTAAATATAATTCTATTAATTAATTTGAGTTTTATTCGTATTACTTAATAAAATAAATCAAGTTAATCGGAGTTGGTGGAAATGGTTCTTAATAACGTGTTACCTGCAACGCCTGAATAGTGAAGGCAGGAACTACTCGTGGCTTTCTCTTTTTGTATCGCGGTATATCTTTCCGAACTTCTGTCCAAAATTCTTTCTCATTCACCATCCCGATGCCCGATATTTTTTTCAATCCTGAGTTCAAATTATACGTTGAACATTTTATTCGAATGTCGTACATACGAAATTATATGCGCGCGAAGATGTAGTTAGGATTATAGGAAACGGATTCAGATCAAACAATATTGTCTCCTAGCAACAAAATTTCTGTTGACATCTATTTCATGATATAAGAAAACATGACATCTATTCCATCATCTATTCAAAATATTCACATCATAGATACAAATTCACTTTATAAAAGTACATAATATCCTTATAAATGTTTATACAATCAAATATAAATTAAATATTTTATGCATAAGTGACACGATCATAAGAATTAATAATAAAATGAATAATAATAAAATGAAAGGATATCTTAACTGTATAGTGAAAGGATATCTTTTTTTCATTAAAGTAAATTATTTCTTTTTGTCAGTAAATATAAAATATTTTATTAATATTAAGTTTGCAATAGTGGACGCGGTTGTATTCGTGGAAGTCGTCTTCCAGAATGCAATGGTTTGTGAAATTGTGGATCATCAAATAGAAGTTCCTTTTTGCATGGTTCGTCTTTGTCTGCTGTATTTAATTATTAAGGAAAATAACTGTGCAGTATATGTGCGCACGTGTGGGCGTACACACGATGTGTGTGTATTCAATTATATGTGTCATCTATTTTTTATGACAAATATAACATAAACAGTTAACATTTCATATATAAAACAATGAAAAGGATATTTGTGAAGCAGCTTGAAGATTCCTGTGCCTAGTGGAACTGGAATACCCATTATAATTGATTCTGATACGCCGCTTATAATATCTTTTTGTCCATAATAAGCTGCATCAAATAGATGATCTGCTGTTTTCTCAAACTGTAAATAAACTGGTTTGCCAAAAGAATTTCCAATTCTTCTTAATACTACTCAAATTTAAAGATGAAGAACCATAATAAGCTCAATTTAATAATTCTATATTGTATTATAAAAAAGCACGTAAAAGAATGAAACAATGAAAAATGGAAAATCTCACCGATGCCAAGTTTAAAACCGATTCTTTCATTTTTGCCAAACCTTGTCTCGTGATACCAAGTACTTCTCCTCTGCTAGTCATTAAATCTGCCAAGAGCATTAAATGTCGACAATCAATACTGATTCCGTGATTTTCCATTACTGACTTAATTTCTGACATGATAGTCGTTCTCGCTGCTTCTATCCCGAGCGTTTTGAAAACCTAAAATGAAGCTTAATTATAAATATGTTTTATTCACTATCTCATGATTTCTTTCAACTCACTTCTATTGTATTATTTGACTTTGTCTTTTCACCAAGGATGCCACGTGTTGCCATAACTTCTCTAAAATTATCTCCTTCGACAAATAATGTAAATTTCGATTTACTACCGAGGTTTTCATTATGTACAACTACTCTATTGATCGATGGTAAGCCCTACAAAAATAAATAAATACATAAATAAAAGCGGACATTAAATTTCTAAAACTTATAAAAATTTATCTCATTACACATTTTTACCTTTACTATAACATTTGGAATGGCCTCTGTCAGTTGACGAAATGGAAAATTTGAGTCTTTATCTTTACTCCGATTTGGTCGAATAATAATAACTGAGTCGGTCACCTTTTCTACATTCTTTGAAGTTAATTTCAATTTTGAAGTGCAGAGTCTAAAAAAATCATAAATTATATTCGTTATCTTTCGAAAAATATATAATGGCAGCAAATTATTGTTAAAATATAACTAAAACTCCTGTTTTTTTTTTTCATTGTAACTATATTAAGTTTTGACATTAAATGAAAGAAATCAAGTGAAATTTTGTTCTTGTGAAATACGTATGTATATTGAAATAAATTAATAGTTGCAATGAAAAAACGAGAATCTCTTAAACTTTCAAACATACTTACGTATAGTATACGGAATTAACATCAACTTCTAATTTTAACGTTTTAATCCTATCGATATCTAGTTTTATTATAAGGAAATGATCATCGCGCAAATATATTTCGTCGATATATTCAGCTACATCTTCTAAGGTCGTCTTCTCAATTCTTGCCTTCACTTGCTCGGCAAACTCGGAATTCGTATCATTGATCTGTAAAATAAAGAATTATAGCGTTTTTCACTGGCAGAACTGGTGCGCACTCAGTACACCTTAAAGCTGTTGTACACTAACCTAATCTGAATGTAAAAGTGATATATCTAAATTAATAAAATACCCAACGTATATTTTATCAAATACTATAATAAAATTTATTGAAGATTTCACGGTTTAATTCGTTTCTATATTTTTAAACGTACATCTTTACGTCGATTTGTGTACAATGGTTTTAAAGTGCACTGAGTGCGCACCAGCTCTGCCAGTGAAAAACGCTATTAGTTGGTTAAAACCATTTGATTATTCCATCGAATATGCATGTGTTTAGAGTAATTATTCACCAATGTCGCTGTTATGATGGGAGTACTGATCTTAGGACTCGCGTTAATAATTTCTTTAATACGGGGAACCCCTTGCGTAATGTTCATGGCAGCTACACCGGCAAAGTGGAATGTTTTGAGTGTCATCTGAGTCCCTGGCTCACCGATACTTTGAGCAGCGAGCGCACCTACAGCAGTGCCCGGTTCTATCTTAGCTCTCATATATTTCTCCTTGCACGTGTGAATAAACTCTACTAATTGCGAGACGGTGAAACGTTCGAGTTGCGAAGTCACTGACGAATTCGATATAATGTTCTGTCGATAAATTTTTATTTTTCGCGCCACTAATTTCAGGAATGAACTACAAAAAAAACAACGTTTAATTTGTTTAAAGCTGCGTTACAGAAGTTCACCAAATATCATATATTTATCATATATTGTCTTACATTAATTCGTCTTTAAATTCCTTACTCAGGCACTCGTACTCCTCAGAGCGTAGCATTTCATGTGTAGCATTAATCACGCTAGCAGCATCTAAAGGCTCTTCGGTTTTATAAGGCATTTTCGCCCTCACATGCTCGTACACTCTTTAGTCTTTACCTGTAAAAAAAATATATTATTCTATTTACACAAAATGCACAATAATGTGTCACATACCTTCCATGTACGTAGGATCCAATCCATCACCGCCATATGGAATCTGTATGATATCGCGCATAGAGTTGCGTACCGTCATGTCGTAATGGATACACAAATCCTCTAAACTTTTAATTAATCGTCTCTGCATGTATCCAGTCTCTGCAGTTTTTACAGCAGTATCTGTAAGACCCTCTCGACCGCCCATCGCATGAAAGTAGAATTCCTTGGACACTAATCCAGAATAAAATGAATTTTCCACAAAGCCTTTAGCATATGGCTGCTTTGATCCTATCAAGACATGAGGTAACGCACGATTCTCGAATCCGTCCGGCACTCTATGTCCGTTGATAGCTTGCTGACCTACGCAAGCTGAAGAGAGAAGTTGTATTAAATAGTACCAAAACAATTAAGAATAGTAATATATTTATGATTACACTGTGAAACAATTTTGAAAAAAATTGTTGCAGACAAAGCACTGTAAGAAAATTCTGTTAGTACTAGGTGAGAAGAGATGAAATGTCAAAGGGTTTGCCAAGATTAGTTCGATTTTTTATTTATGAAGCTTCAAAGTTGATTACAAAATGAATGAAAAATTAAAAATATTTTTACACACATTATCAAATTTTTTGAGAAAACTATCATCTTGGATTACATCACCAAAGCGCGCATTTAGAAATATAAGTAATTCTAAAAATCATTAGTTGCTGTATCTTCGATTTTATCATCTCTGTTACATATTTTATGAGACTACCTGCAAATATCGCTTAGCAATGCATCTAATTTTTTCTTTTATAGCAAGCTTCTATTGACATAGGTACTTGATGAAAACGCTCGCCACGTTTATCCTATTCTATTACTCTTACTTATCAAAGTAATCAAGATGGTGATGAAGGGAGTGTATTTAGATTCATATAAACATCTATTCTCTCGAATGCTCTCAATATAGCAGCTATGAAAGCTCGATAAAATTGAAGATATATATAGCAACTAATGATTTTTAGATTATTTATATTTTTAAATGCGTGCTTCGGTGATGTAATCAAGATAATAGTTTTCTCAAAAAATTCGATAATGTGTAGACAAAAATAAGTCAATTTTCATTCATTTTGTACTCAACTTTGAAGCTTCATAAATAAAAAAATCGAATTAATATCTTGGCAAACCCTTTGACATTTCATCTCCCCTCACCTAGTACTAACAGGATTTTCTTATAGTGCTTTTTCCGCACTTTAATTAAAATTTGTGTCCACTATGTTATTACTTGAACGTACCGATCATTTGAGAGATGTTGATGAAACTACCCTTACTCCCGCAGAGTGCCATAGTTAGAGGAGTGTTAGTGGGATGCAATTCTTTCAAACACGCTTTACCAACGTTGTCACGGATTACCGAAAGTTCGTTTAATATTCTCGTTTCCAGTGTTTCCTCTTCCGAACATCCAGGCTGACAGATGAGATGACCCTGATCCATTAACTGAATGTATTCGTTACATGTAGAGTAACTAAATAAACAAAAAAAATTAGAATTATATGATTATTATTATGAGGTTGTTTATATGAGGTAGCCTGTCAAATTTAAACTTGAAATTATTCATACTGAGTATTTAACACTATTTCCTTGGCTCGAAGAAGGCCTTGACTAGGTATAAGATCACCGATACCAAGAGAAATTCCTCTCTCAAAATTGAAGTGATTTGTTATTCTAGTTAAACGCCACATAGCTGCAGTTGCAACATCTTCACCCCAATCACGCAGCAGAATGTAAAATATATTTTGTTTCGATCCTGAGCCCAATACAGATTTATCCATTGTACCCGCTAGGAGTTCGGAATTGCGAATAATAACATCTATGGATTTAATTTAATTATTTAAGAATATTTGGTCATTAACGACACGATTACAATGTACAACTACAACTTACAAGAGTCATTAATACAAAATTCTTTTCCGGTGGTATATGTCTTGCCCTTTGCCTTTAGATTTGCTTTGACAGAACATTCCTTATTCGGTCGTATAATGAGACTGAATATTTGTTTGCCGGTCCACAATCTCGCCGGTTTTACGATTGCAGGTGGAGGAAGAGTTATGATCATAGAAGCGTCCAAGCCAGCTAAAAGGCAAAGAGCTAATCTAGCTTGTTCTAGCTGGAGAAACGTGTCCTTTTGAGTCAAGAGATAAGCACCGGTGATAAAATCTTGAGTTGCTCCTATCAATAAGTCACCATTGCGAGGTGTCACTAGATTGGATTTATTCTATAAACACAAAACAAAACATTTTAGCATATTTATACGCAATTTAATAATTCTACAAAAGTATGTTAATCAGTCATTTACCGCTAACAAAACTAATGCTTCGGCTCTGGCTTCTTCAGTCTGTGGTAAGTGAAGATTCATCTCGTCGCCGTCAAAATCTATTAATGTATATTAAATCAAATAAGAGTTAAACAAGACCCCGATGATAATCTTAGTACCTAATAACATTGATCTGCGATAAAAAAATTTTTTAAACAGTTTCAGCTGTTTTTAATGTATCTTTTGGGATAATAAACATAAATTCGTTATCCAAATTTATCATATCACAATTTTGAGAAAAATGGCATCAAAGAGATAAAAAAAAACAATTTTCAAGGTTTTTATAAATCAAAAAGTAATATAAAATTGACAAAATAGAATATAAACATTATAAGATATTTTGTAACACTATGTTTTATCCAGGAATTTTATCCATTAATCTTGCTATCATATTGTCAACTTCACTGATTTTTTATTTAGTATAAGGCAATTGTATTATGTAAAAGCTCTACATACAATAAAGTATTACGACCGAATAAAATGTCTTTTCTATGTATTACATGGGAAAAGATTTTTAAATATTTTTAAATATTTTTAAATTTTGTCATATCTCAAAAATGGACAATCACCAAAACCAAACAAAATGCTTTAAATTCCTATTTTTGTGTGGCATTAACAAAATTTAGAAAAAAATTTACTACTGATGTTACAATGTCATAAAAAACCTTAAAAGCGTCATTTTCGGCAATTTTTTTTCAAAAATTTGACGTGGAGCAATTTGATAAACGGAATTGTATTTAGTACCTAAAAACCGACGGAAAATGATTATGTTCGTTTAGACAATGATCCCAAAGTATTAATTTGCAGACTAGTATAATATTTATATGTAAATTTTAAATATAATCGTAATAATTTGTGTATGTGGAGGAGGGAGGGAGGGGGAGAGAGAGAGAGAGAACATATTAAACAGCCAACATGTATGGACAATAAGTTAAACTAGACCTGCATTGTAAGGTGCACAGACACATTCGTTGAATCTGAACGTTCGATGCTCCAATACCTTGGTTCTATGTGTCATAATACTTAATTTGTGCAAAGATGGTTGCCGATTGAACAGTACTAAGTCATCATCTTTGAGATGCCTCTCAACAATGTCGCCATACTGTAAAAAAAACAATGGTATATTAAAATATATAACTCCTGACAATTTAAGTCAATGTAGGTACGTGAATTACCTGTAAGTCTTGAGCGGCTTTATTCCGATCGCCATATCCAAGATATCGCCTGTTTTGCGAGTTCTTATATTGTATGTAGTTTGCTCCAGGATGTATATCTGGACCATTTCTTACTAATTTTCGCATTAATTCTATGTTTGATGGAATGACCCTTTCAGGATATGTTAAAGTCTTTGCAACATATATAGGTACACCAACCTACATAAAGATTCAATATTATTAGATACACATCGCAGCAAGTCGACTTCAATTTCATCAGACTTACTTGTTCTATTCTGAGATTGGGATCAGGCGAAATGACTGTGCGAGAAGTAAAATCAACACGCTTACCAGACAAATTACCTCGAAAACGACCTTGTTTTCCTTTCAATCTTTGTACTATACCTCTACCAAACTTTTTAGGCTGAAAGTATCAATGTGTGAATTATTAGAGAAAAGAATATACAGATCTTTAAATGTTTGTTGAGAAGAGCTTACTTGCATGTGTAGAGGTATTCCGGACATTTCACTATTAATATAAAGACCACAATGCAGTTGAAGAAAATCCCAATGTTCCATGTACATATTTATATTAACACCTTTTTGCTTGCGAATAACGTCATTGATAAGAGCTATTTCTGACAATTTCATTGTCAGATAATCTTCATTTGTACCAGCCTTTAGGTCAGATAAAATACTAGGTCTAATACAAATTGGTGGCACAGGGATCCTTCTCAATATCAAATCCATTGGAGTTGCATATCCAGGATTCATTAACAAGTAGCAGATATCGCCTGTTGGAATTCTATTGAAAAGTTCTTGCACCTTAAAGAATATTCGTATATTATAAATTATATAAATTGCAAAAAAAAGTACTCAGAAATATATTAAACTATTATTCATAACATTATTATTTCTTTCTTTAAATATCTATTTATATCTCTTATATCTTTAATATTCTATATATACATATACAGGGTGTCTTAAAAATAGGGTAGGAGCCGCAATGGGGGCATAGGAGTCAAGGGGAACAAAAACGTCTTATACCATTTTGAAATATTCATTGTAAAAATTTCAGTTAAAATAACATTCTTGGATAGCGTAGGCGCGATGCAGCGAAACACATAGGACCTCCATGCCAGGCGGTGAAGCGCTATTCCTTTACTGCGCACCGCCGCTGTCGAATGAGACACAATGGGCCATGCTAAGAATTTGCGCGGCGCAGCTTAACACCGCACATTGGCTTACACGTTTTCTTTATTAATTCGAAAACTACAGCGAATATCTGATATAAGATATAAGACTTTTTTTGTTCCCTTTGATTCTTTCTTTGCCCCCATTGTGACTTCTACCCTATTTTTGAGACAACCCATGTATATATATATATATATATATCTTTTTTAACATTCTTCTATATTATAAATATATACTCTCTTTGAATCATACCACATTTGGATATAGATATTGATCAAATACACATCTGTAGTTTTGCTCTACTATATTTTTAAATTCTATGTCGCGTTCCATCTTTGGGGCCAATTCAGCCAACTTTTCTTGAACAATAGGATCTGTTTTCTTTAAGTTCTTGTATTTCTCATGTACAATCTTGAGAAAACCAGCCTTCTTCACAGGGCCATTATTTGACTTACAATTTGGACATACTGTCTTCTTTCTCGCTAATTCCAATATTCTCTTACGCGATGCTTTGGACGTTAAATATCCCGATTGCGGATTTTGTATGCTGCTTGAAAAAGATTTCTTTTCTTCGTCCGTTAGCAAAACATGAGCACATCTCTGTAAAAATTATGCGTCTCTAAAATATTAATGCGTCAATATAGGACACATAATTACTGAATCTTGATAAAATTGTGTTACCTTGCAAATTGTCTGTAAAATCTGGATGATCGATCTGAAGTAACCAACATGAAAAACTGGTAGTTCTAAATTAAGATACCCGAAATGTCCTACGCAGTCGTTCAACTTTTTACTACACGTTTCGCATTCGACTCCTGTAGAACTCACTCCCTATATACAAAAGCATCAATTCTAAGCTCTGTTCAAGTAGAGACGAAAGGAATATACATAGTAAATTCGGTCACTCGCACTACACTGGATTAGTGCACACAAAAGCTGATTTATACAAATTTATTTAAATGCAGTGACATAATACAATCAATTTTGAAATAATATAATATAATATATAATGTATATTCTGTTAAATAAAAATATCATTATTAGGTATTTAAAGTATTTATATAATGTTATATTTAATCTTGTTAACTTCATACAGGGTGTATAAAAAGTACCAGAAGCTCTGAATATCTCGAAAAATGTTTTATAAAAAAAAACAAAATGATTCAGAAAAAAGTTGTAGGATTTAAAAAGATTTATTTACTGATCTTATCAGTTTGACCTTGGGTGGCATCGCCAAGGTCAGGTCAAGATCAAATCGCTTTTTTTTTTTTTTTATGAAAACCCTTACTTTTCATTGCATATTCTTTTAGCATTATCTCGAGAGCTTTTCAATATGCTATAACAAAATACTTTTTCATTAAATACTTTTTTAGTTATAAGGTTTAAAAGTTAAGTACCATGGGCATTAGTATTATCTAAAGTATCCAACTGGTGATGATTAAAATTCTAAAATGAATAATCTAAAATTAGAGACTCTATAATTAAAGTTTGGCCACAAGAAAATATTCTGCACTTTTCTTCAAAATTGTGCAAGAGAGAAAGACATGTGTCCTCCTTTTTTTTTTTTTTTTTTTTATTTCTGTACTTTCTATACATCCTGTATAAAGTAGATTTTAATATGTATTAATCTAATAATAAAAGTGGATTAAATTTATTAATGGTCTTCAAATACCATGCGCCTGTCCAGTGCTCCTTGCAAAGCAGGAGTATGCTTTGTATCTTCATTGTACAGGTTTTTGGAGATCACCTCCACACTGGCCTGCATATTTATGTCGTGCATGCTGTCCACTCCAAAAGATATGTGGGAGCTAAATAAAAAAAAAATTAAATAAAAGCCCCTGCATTTTGCTCACTACAACTTCTAATTTTCATATTGAAGAGAATTCAAATACAGAGAAACAGAATTACATTTAATTTAAACTTTGTTTGATGAATATATCCCAATTGTTTACCAATTGTATTGTGTTAAGAAAACATAATGTAAGCCTAATTTCTATTCTAGCTCTTTACTTTCTGTTTCTTGCTTTTTGTCACTTTTTATGTCATCCTTTCTGTTTCCTTCGTTTTCTGTCATCAAAGATAAAAGTTGAACTTCGGAAGAGGCAAGAAAAATGATTGTCGATATAACGGTTGCAAAGAGAAAAAAGGCAAAAACAAGAAATAGGAAGCAAACAGCACATTATAAGTTTAAAGTGCATATCCACAAAAGGAACATTTTATTGCCTATTGTTGCTAGAAACAAGCAACTAGTAGAAACAATTTTGTCTCCATAGAATAACCTCAATTTTGAGAACATTTTAATTTTGTTTCAATTATCGAGGCAACAATTTGTCCAGAACTTAAGCTTAATCTACAATGTGCTTTGTATTTCCTGTTTCTTACATTTTACTACTTTTTACTTCTTGCCATTTTGTCTATTATCCAGTTTTTTTTTTCATTTTCTGACATAAAGTTGACAAAGAAGCAAGAAACATGAAATAAAAAGTAAGAAATGGAAAGCAAAGAACACAATGTATATCATTATATAGGCTTTCCGGAAAGAGGCAACATGAATGTTGCTTTGTGCTTCTTCAGTAGATACAGCACATTTACATACCAACATCTGCAGAGACACAGACATTTTACTTGTATTACAATTTATATTATGCTTGTATGTAAATAATACTGCATAGAAATTATTAGCGATATTATTTCCCTGAGAGAACTAAGGAATAATACTTTAAATTTGTAAAAACAAATCTTATACATACACTTCGCTGGCGACATTTGTCTCCCTGAATTGTTCTTTCACCATGCTTGTGTGGTCCTGATTTAAATACAACTGCAAATAATCGAAACAATTCTTAATTCGGTAATTTTTCGTTTTTGCACCTGCCCCTTTTGATCAAAATTCACGATATTTAACAATGAACAGGTTCATTCTCATCCATTTTGGCTCTATTCATTTCATTAAGGGGATGCTGGAGTGGTCAAATTGTGCGATTTTGCAGATCGATATAAATCTCCGAATTTACTGAACGGAATAAAAAATTCTTTTACAGGCTCTTAAAGTAGACGCAATATTTGGTGGTGCTGCAATAAACTTTATACTAAAATTGTAAAAAAAATTAAAAACTTACATTTTTTTCAACTCGTAGAGCTGTCACCTAACGTAGATGTTTCCTTAATACAAAAGTGTTATAGCTCGTATGGATCAAACGATAGTGCATTACGTGCACAAACAATACCGAGTTTATGAAACTAAGATTAAAAGCTTCAAAAGAAAGATTTATATCGATCTGCGAATGACGTGTATACAAACCATAGAGATATATCTCTATGGTCGTACTTCGTCTTCTTTTTCCAAATTGTAAATGGCCTCACCGGCGAAAGTTACGACGATTCCGGCCAGTAAATTGCTTTAAGTTGTATGTACGAGCTTGTAATCGAGGTTATGAAATACGCATACAATTCACTGAAAGCTTGGCCAGTAGTACCAGACACAGTCAAAGCTGGCAATGCTTTCCAAAAATGATAGGATGCAACACTCGAGGCGAGATGAAACAGATCCGCCTCACTCAAGCGATCTCTCAAGACTAAGTAGTAGTACTTCGTGAATGCTTGATATTCGTCAATGGCTGCATTCAGCGGACTCAACAGTTGAGTGAGCGTTCGCTGCTATTGACGTATTCTTCTAGATCTAAAATTATGATTGGATGATCTAAAAGAATACACCAATAACAGCGAGCGCTCACTCAACTGTTGAGTCCGCTGAATGCACCCATTTTTTACCACGTGATCCTTTTTGTCGCTGAAACAGCCTGTTTAAACAGCTCGTGAAAATTTACCTTTAGTCGACCACGTGCTGCGCAGCGGGAAACACGGCATACTTCAAGCCTATTCTACAATGTGCTTTTTGCTTCCTGTTTCTTGCTTTTTGCTATTTTTCGTATCTTGCCTGTTTGCTTTTTATCCCGTTTTTCGTTTTCTGTTGCTCGAGATAAACGTTAACGAACTTCAGAAGAAACAGAAAACACATATCAAGAAATATAATTGTTGATAAAACGATCACAAAGAGGAAAAAAGCAAGGAACAGGAAACAAAGAGTACATTGTAGAACAACCATCATGCTGGGAACGCACTCAAGGCTATCGATGTTATCGATAGTCGCTATCGATAGTTTTCCACTTCTACTCGGAAGTCTCGGAACGCACCGGAATACTTGGAAATCGGAATTGCAAGAATTGCGTCGACTGTTGTTGTTTATTACGAAAACAAAATCAAACAAGACTCCAGCCGATTATGCCGGCGTGACATTTATGAGCAGTACAAACGCGTCAAATATCGATATCACGAAATGCCGAGAGTACGTAACGAGAGTATAGCGGTTATGTTTAATTAATAATTACGTTACCTTAAAATTCTGATGACAATAGGGAGTTTTTGCATTAGTTTATCCAGATACAGTGAACGCTAAGGTCAGGTATCTTCTTCTTAACAACTAATTAAGAAAAGGATAGCGTGACTTTAGCGTTTACCGTATCTGAATTCACGTTATTGCAAAAACTCGCTAATGAGTCGATAGTCCTAAGTCTTATCGGTGAATCGGTGAAGTTGGCTAACAGCCAACTTGTACGACTAAAACTACCGATTTTCTTAAGACTGACCAATTTCGACTTTATTCCTTCCCATTAATCGAGCTAAACAATTCGCTGTACAACTAACAACTAATAGATGCGAAAAATCGTAGTCACTTATTTAGGTTAAAACTGGTTAAGACTTAAGATTTCCAACTACCGACTCGTTGTAGAATCAGCATTATTTATTTCAATTTCCTGAATGTCAAACCAAAAATCTCACGCACATGTTATTTCTGTAGGATATCAGATCCTATTTTGCCCCAGTTGCGACTTCACAGAAGAACAGTAAGCCTGTTGCTCCAAGGTCTCAGAAACGGCGGATCATTTCCTCCTCATCAGACGAAGATGAAGAGAAACCAAAGTCATCCACGAAACGTTCCAAAGTATCGTCCTTTATCATTTGCATATTTTTTATTTGTTGTAGTTACTCTTATAATTCTCTTTGTTATTTGCAATAATTCAATATAGATAGTTAATTCTGTCGTCGACATGAATTTGAACTTTTCTATTAGCAATAGGGGTTTTCTAGAAATAACAAATTTCTTTTTTTGCAAATTATATAAAAAACTGAAAAAGTTCTAGTACACTTATCAAAGCATTAACAAGTTTTTATCATCATAAAAGTCTAGCTGTGTTTCACTTATTTTTTATAGATTTAAATTAGCAAAATTCACAATCAAAGTATCAATAGTATCTTTAAAGATCTTAATTGCTGGTGGAGAGTTAATTATGATTCTCTTTGTTTTTTTCAATAATGCCAATTTGGATAATCAATTGCACAGGTCGTAAAAAGAAAGAAATCTTCCATCCTATCTGACTCTGAGGATGAGGAGAAAGTCAGAGATGATAAAAAAGATTCTAGGTACCCTATAGCAAGTAAGAGAAGCAAAAGCAAGGAGCCATGCAAAGCGATACCTGTTACTGAATTATTTGGCAAGAAGCCGATAACAAGAGTAGAAGAAATAAAAGTAAACCGAAAATTACAGAAAGTGGTAAGTATTGTTTGTATTCAAGTACAAACAGGAAAATTAAAGAAATATCCTAAAACTTCCTGGAATTTATTCTGGAATTTATGTAGGAATCTGAGTTTCATGAAGATGAAGATTTTGATGCTGTGCTTAAACAATTGGATGTAGTACAAGATACCCTGATACAGCATAAACAGAAGGATAAAAGTAACATTAAAAATGTAGATAGTCCTAAGAAATCAGAAGCTACAGTTAAGACAGGTATGTTTAAATTTAATTCATTTATTGTTCAAATAGATACTGTTATATACAAATTTGACATGATAGAACATTTACAGAGGTGGTCTCTAATAAGAACAGAAAGCATAGTAATGGTTTGAAAGATCTTAATAGTCAAACTAATAATACATATGAATTAAAATCTGAGGAGGTAAAACAATCTCCCAATAAAAATAATGTATATTCAAAAGTTACAAATTCCTCTCCAAAACAGAACTTACAAAAAGAGAAAAAAGGTAGCTCGAATGGAGACTTGGATATAAACAGTAAGTATGATATTCTAATTAATTAAATTATAACTTGAATAATTTAACGTCTATTTCTGCAGAAAAAGATAAAGATATAAAAAAATCATCAAGTAAAAGGAAAGCCAAAATAATGGAAGAAAATTTATTTGAAGAAAGGAAAGAAACAAAGAAACAGCGTGCTATAATGTACGAAAAATATCTTCAGAGAGGCGGTGCCAGAAACCCTGGTTCAAAAGAGATCCCTACAGTAAGAGACTGCATATGACAATAACAATGAATAGTTCTATGTGATAGATTATATTCTATATAATATATTAATAAAATGATATAATATCAATTTGATATTATAGTTACAACTGCAAGAAATAATAATATTTAAAATAGCATTAAAAATTATAAAAAACTAAATAATTACAAGATATAATGCCTTATCTGAATCTGCAACATTCGTACCATACGAAGCAGCTAAATGGATAGCGCGCGACGTCGCGCAGTGTCTATTGTTTTTTTAAAATTAAGAGTCCACTGAGACTATCCTATAAAAAATATATTTTGTATACAATAAGGAATTCGATCTTTTTTTTCAAATTTTCATAAGTGATAATTTTTGGTGGAAAAATTTAATTAACATTTACATTATTATAATAACAATAAAAATTATTATTTTAAACAAACTCAAATAATATTATAAAAGCGCTTAATTTCCCCTTTAAAACTGTTTTTGGTTTGTCTTTCTATGATTATTCAAACCGGAGATATTTAACTTCAAAGTAGGGGGGGGGGGAATGCTCAGTTGTATAAAAACTTCCATGTGAAAAAACTAATGAAAACATTTTTTAGAGGGGCATAAGCTCACACATTATTTAAAATGGTGTATATATATCATGTAACAAAAGTTTCAAGCAGTTCAAAAAAGTACCTATTTTGTTCAATTTTCTCAGGAATTGCTCATATAATAGAATAGAGACTGTTTTTCAATAAAAAATTAGGAAAGATTTTCAATTAATATTTTATCTCAGATTTTTATTCGTTTTCTATCTCAGGGTGCCAAAAATTGTTTAGCCGGAGTAAGTTTCTTGATTACTGGTGTATTGGATTCCTTAGAAAGAAATGAAGCCGAGGATTTAATACAAAAATATGGTGGCCGGACCGTAAATTCTGTATCAAACAAAGTAAATTATATTATAGTGGGAGATGAGGCTGGCCCAGCTAAATTGGCAAAAGTGTGTATTTTTTACATGATATACGTTTATATTTTGCATATATGTCTGTTATTTTTTATTTATATGAAATAAATTTTTAGGCTAGTGGTTTAGGTATCAAACAAATATCTGAAGATGATCTCCTTGAAATGATTCGCATGAGACCGGAAGGTAAAGCAGACATCAAGCCAGTTAAAGCAAAATCATACGTGAAAAAAATATTTAGTAAATTTGAGAGTGATGAATCACCGAACAAAACAAAAGCATTATTAGATTCACCTAAGAAGGTAAAAACACCACCATTTTCACCAGTGAAAACCAGTGTGAATACGAAAACATCACCAGCATCAAAACAGACTTCAGATGCAAGCAGTAATACACAGAAAGTAAATCTAGATATTAATTTGACATACATGCACAAATGATACAAAATGACATAAAATAAAATAGAGCTTAAAATATGGTTGCTTCCTTGCTTTTATTATATTCTTCCAGATAGTAACAAGTATTGGATCAGAACTGTTAGTTGAAAAATATAAACCCAAAACTATGAAGCAAATTATAGGTCAGCAAGGAGATAAGAGCTGCGTACGTAATTTATACATATGGCTACGTGATTGGCATCAAAATCGTCAGAATTCCAAATTCAAAAATAGCAGTATGTTAACTTTTATTATTGTTCTTTTATCAAATCTTGGTGTAAAGATAAAATAAGGCTAATTAGTCTGATTATAATTTCATTTCTATTTCAATAGCTAGCAAGCAAACTCACGGACAAAGTTTCAAAGCTGCCTTGCTGTCCGGCCCACCGGGCGTTGGTAAAACAACAACTGTACAAGTCGTTTGTAAAGAATTAGGATATGATCTTGTGGAATTCAATGCTTCTGACACGAGAAACAAGACACTTTTGAAAGAAGCGGTCTCAGGATTATTATCCAACACCACAATGAAAGATTATGTCACAGGTAGGCATGTGATATATAATAAAATCTTGAAATAATTATACCATTTTCTTGTCTCTCACACTATATGCTACAGGTACCAAACAAAAAATTACGAGCAAGCACGTGCTGTTAATGGATGAAGTCGACGGTATGGCTGGTAACGAAGATCGTGGTGGCTTACAGGAATTAGTTAATTTAATAAAACATACGGATGTGCCAGTTATCTGTATATGTAATGACCGATTTAATACGAAGGTGAAAACTATTTCTACGCACAGCTACGACCTGAAATATCCGAAGCTCAGAGTGGAACAGATCAGGGTATAGTTTAGTACTTAGTTATAGAATCTAGCTTGAGTAATCTTTCTTATTTGATATAATTCAAACAGCAATATAAGAAAGAGCATAAGAGTCTCTATACTCTGTATATTTTGTATACTTTTCGTTTTATTAAATTCGTTATATTTGATACTTTATCTCTGCGCACTAATTTTTGTACTTGACTTTTATGCCCTTTTTATTTTGTTATTTTAATTGTCTTAGCTCTCTCTAGAGCACACTCACAACAATTAAAATAACAAAATAAAAAGAATCTCTAAAAGTCAACTCTCAATGATACACATTGTCCCTATTTGATATACTTTGATATCTTCTCTACAGAGTTCTATGAAGTCTCTGTGCTTTAAAGAGGGCATCAAGATCTCAACGGAGGATCTCGATCGTTTAATCGAAACGACGAATTATGACATTCGACAAGTAATAAACCATCTGGAGTTTCTCAGCACCCAAATGACTCACGTGAAGACGACTGATAAAAAACATTCGAATAAGAACTTTAAGCTCGGTCCATTCGACGTTACAAAAATAGCATTCAATGCGGAGGAGCAAAAAAATATGAATCTGAATGATAAGATCGGTTTATATTTCCACGATTACAATATAGCGCCTCTTTTTATACAAGAAAATTATCAGGGAATTAGATTATCTCAAGTATCACCGTGAGTATATCACTACTTTTATAAAGCTGTTTTTAAAGTCCAAGAATTAAGATTTGTTACATTTCCAGTCGTCAGAAGCTAGAAAAAATTGCCAACGCAGCTGATAGTATATCTCAGGGGGACCTTGTCGAGAAGGTGATGAGAAGTAATATGATGTGGAGTCTACTTCCGTTGCATGCTTGTTTCTCATTCGTTATACCAGCTAGTGAAATGTCAGGAAGCTCTGACGGGTTGATACGATTTCCGAGCTGGTTCGGGCGAAATTCGAAGACAACAAGGTTTAACCGGTATTATAAAATATTGACTTTTATTATTATTATGTGATCCGTCACGATCGTATCGAACTTCATTAGCAGCACTTTGTCCGCTGTGTATTATTTGCAGATTATTGCAAGAATTGACGACGCATACTCGATTAGCTACGAGTGCAAACAAGGATGCCCTGAACATGGATTATTTGCCTTATATTCGAAACGCTATTGTAAAACCTTTGATAGATAATGGTGTAGATGGTATAGAAGAGGCGATAAATATTATGGGAAAGTATCATTTAACCAGGTTCGTATTTTATTTACATTGAATCACTGGAAGACACAAAGATACATATGCTGATATTTTATTTTTCCTTAGGGAAGATTTGGATTCAGTAATAGAAATTTCTCTTTGGCCAGGAATGTCCGATTCGACGAGTAATCTTGATAGTAAAGTATGTGCAATATTAATAAATATTAATTAATAACAATGAAGACTTTTTATTGTGATAACTTTGTTTTGTAAAGATTTTAATTACATTAATGTCGCTAATATGTCAGGTAAAAGCAGCGTTTACACGCGCATATCAAAAGAATCCTCCTATGCTGCCGTATGCAATTAATAGCACTGCTACAGCAAAGAAAAGATCTAGACAGGATAATGATGTTATGGAAGATGAAGAAGATGGTGAGGAGGAAGAAACTGACGATATTGGTTTGGATAAGATGATCAAGGTAACATTAAAAATTATTTTCGCATTTCCATTATAAAATATATCAATTTTTTGAACAAAAAATATATCATGTAATGTATTTTAGGCAAAAAAACCTACTGTTGCTAGTACTAGCAAAGCTGCTTCATCGACGAGAAAACGCGGCGAATCAGCTAAGAAACGTGGAAAGGTACGCGGTAAAGGAAAATAAGAGACACAATAGTAAAAGAAGATATGCACGTTTTATGTAGAGAAACTTGAAATAAAATTAATCCATCACGAGAGAACATTTGTTCACTACTTGAATTAATCGAAGCGTTTATATGATCATGGAATGATTTTTATACATTAGATTTATTGCATCCAATACTTGGTGTTCGTTTCAAAATATACTTTCTATTCTCTTATTAGATTTATTGTATTACAAAAAATGCAACACCTGGCGTTGTTTTAAGATATATTTCTTATTCTGTCTTATTAGTGAGAAATGTGTTCTAAAAGCTCAATAGCTCTTTAATTCACCAGCTCTCCTCTTGTCTGTACACATTCTAAAACGAAAAAAAAAAGAGTTAGAATCTCAGTTGTCATAAAAAATAGCTGATATAAAATATACATAATATATGAAATAAAATTTTATGAAATATTTTATATATTTATGATGCGTACGTTTTTTACTGGGTTTCCATCCAATGTATTCATTAGTTTTCATATTTTCTTCGGTCAGCCAATCAGTCAAAGGCTTAAAATATTCCAAAAGTCCAGCCGCATCCATTTGCCTTTGACCCGAGATCTTCTCCATCGCATCTTGCCACGGTTTCGAAGAACCCAACTCCAGCATAGATCTAACATAAGTGCGATCAATATCTCTACACTCGAATTGTATTCTTATAATGGTGCATATCAGACTTACTTTAGCAGATTTCCGGCGTCCTTATTATCGTAAATATCACATTGACTTAACGGCTTGGTATCTGGATTGCTCGGATCATATTGCTTCGCCTCGATGCACAATGCCTTGTGGAACTGGAACTGTATCACAAAACTTACAAAGTATCTTATGTACTCGACACCCGCAATTATATGATATTTGGAGCCAGGATCGAAGTCTTCTTCCGACCTATCTACGGGAGGTTCGATGCCCTGGTATTTCTCGGCGAGTGTCCACCTTAAAGTAAATAATTTTTTTAACTTGCTTCAAATATTTTTTCGGTTTAATTTTTTGGGGAAATTCAATTTAATGCATTTTTATTCGAGGAGAAATATTGTCGAAAAAAAAAAAAATAATACAGAGGGACATATTTTTGTTATCTAGAACACTGACCAGTTGCAGTTATAATTATCGGGCGTGACTTTTCCCTGGAATACATTCCAGCGCCATCGATCCATCATGTAAGCGAATGGCAGGAAGACAATCTTGTCAAGACTTTTCATATAGAGGTGATTGAGGAATGCTTCCCGATCAGTCGAATCATCCGTCAGTAGACCGATCTTTTTGAGATGACTGGGGGTAGATACGCTGAGAGAAATAACATCACCAACCGCTTCGTGGAAACCTGGATTCGCGCCCTCCTTGAAAACTACAGGCTGGTTCTTGTACTGCAAGTAATACTCGATGTGACCCATCTCATGATATGCTGTTAGCAAGTCTTCCATGTTAACGCGCGTACATTGCTTGATCCTGAAGTCTTTGCCATCGTAGAAGTCCCATGCGCTCGCATGGCAGATCATGTCTACACCATCCTTTTTCGTCAGGATCGATTTTTCCCAGAATGTGTCTGGCATGGCAGTCAAGTTAATTGATATGAAGAAGTTCTCGGCGAGGCGAAACATACTTGTCGCATTGTAATCTGCTTAAAGAATTATGAAGCATTACAACGGCTATATAAGCGTAAAGAAAGCTGGAAACAAAGTGATTTTTTGATAGTGCCTTGAAAGACTCAAACATAAACCTGCCTTGTTCTACCAGAGCGGCACTAACATCCGGCAGTTGTTTACCCGAGAACGGTACAGTAAAGTTTGCAATATTCCAAGTCTGAGCCCAGGGATTGCCTAATAGATGCGCTGGGATCGGGCCGTCCTTGGAGACGATGTCTTCGCCGTATTTTTTCCTGAGCTCGCGCCGTACGTAAGCATGCAGTTGTAAATACAATGGCTTCAGTTGTTGCCATTGAGTCTCTGTACAAATTTTGTCGTTCTATCAATGTTGTTTCAGTGAACGATGCTGCAAATAACCTTACCGATTTGTTCAGGGAAATCATCAGCCTCGTAATCCTTCATCCAAAATGCTGCATAGTCAGAGAAGTTGTTAAGTGTCGCCGCGGTGTTGGCTAGTTCAACATATTTGGAGTACAGAGACTTGACTTTCTCGCCTGATGCTTTCCTCCACTCCACCCAGATATGCTTCAGCTCCTCAGGATCGTGACTACTCTTTGATATCTCAATAATTTCCGGCTCAAGCGCAAGATCACACTTACTCTTGTTATGATAATCACAGATCTTTGCGGTGCTATAGATGTTCTCCATTTTACTCACCGTCATCTCGAATTCGTTATAACTCTGCAATCATATATCATGTGGTAATGATCTAACTTACTCGCAATTTTGATCAATGAAATGAATTAAGTTTTCGCTATACAGCTCAATTGGAAAATTGTTAAATTTAACATATTTCACAGTACATATCTCAAACAGTTTACTCAAATTTTTGTGTTAATTTAATACAAGATGAATAAGAACTTGTGTTCACTGGGTTAACACTGAAAATATGCGAATTAATTTGCTATGTTTGTATCAAGATATGTCAAACAATTGGAAAGCACTCATTGGTGTGTATTCAAAAGCCTTAACACACAATAACACACAATTGTAAGCAAATTGTGGAGGAGTTATTTCTTCAGTAATTAGTAAATTCAGTAAATTAATATTTATAATATATTAAATTAAAGAGAACCTGAAGCTGTCTATATTGCCGATTAAATCGTAATTTTTATATAACCAAATTATTATATAAAATATTCTTATTTTTTTCTCTTTTACAGATTTGAAAATTCTTTTCCAGGATTAAAATATACGCACTCAGATAACAAGGTGTCTGTCTTGTTGCTGGCATGTTGCTTGCTAAGCGTGCATTGCTAAATATGTGTTGCTACCTGAATTGTAGTAACTGAGTCCTCATTTGTTGGCAACTTGATACCTTCACGATATGATAACATTGAATAGCAATTTGCTAGCAATTTGCCGACAAATTTAAAATCGTCATCATCAAAATTCGTACTATTGCCATCATGTTGCCATAATAATATGCAGCATCATACAATGCTGTCATATTGCCGACAACGCAAGATAACATTGACGCAGTTATCTTGCTGTTAAACTGTTGGTAGTACATATACACATTGTTGTCTGCATGTTGCTACAATGTCGGTATATTCGAAATCGTTGAAGACAAATCTACGGCAAATTACCAGCATCATAAGCAATCACAGATTTGTGCGATTTTGCTGAGACACGCTTTGCTATCTGAGCATTAATACGTATCTATGAGGTGGAGTTTATGCCGAGAACGACAAAAAATTTTTCTTAAAATTTCAACATTTCAACAAGTTTTTGTCGTTTTCGGCATAAATTCCTCACAGATACGTATTAATGCGTATACTTTAATCCTGGAAAAGGATTTACGTTAAATTAATACTCGAATATGCTAAAAATTTGACACAAAACAACAAAGAATGATTTTAACTGCACAAATACAAAATAATGTTTTTTACTGTGCTATTTTTTGCAAGAAATGTATGATTAGCAAATGAAAATGATATAAATCTCTATATATATGTTTACTTGTTCAGGAAGAGCGGCGATACCGAAGTATACTGAGCTTTTTGAACTGTCTCTTCATAGACTCATCTTTCAAGTCTCTCCAAGAGAAGTCATTCACTATTTGAATAATATGTTTGGTAACGTTCGCCCCCTCTGCCGACCATTTCAACTTTTCTGCCAGATTCTCATTCGTTAGATTCGATGCGTAATTCCATGCGGTGATACTCTGTTTATTATTCCATTTTGCATACTCTGCGTTGATTCTATTCAAGAGTTCGTGAGCGCTTTTCAGAAGATCGTCGGCAGTTTCGTGTTTTTTGCTGATATCTACTGCGTCTTCCGTCGTTGGCTTGGCTGCTACCAGAGTTACAATTGCTGCTACCAAGATTCTAATAACAATTAAATTTTAACAATCTTATTAATAATTATTATAAAAAATCTAATTCTTATATTTTTAAATCGTAAATAACTAGAGGAATTACAAATAAGGCGAGATATTTCAGCTCAACTTTGGAAGTTAAGCGTGTAAATAATTATCAGATGAGAGATAGTTGGTTAATTACTTCATATTAATTATAATAATATGAATGTTTGATAAAATATTTCTTTATGGTAACTATTTATTATGATATTCTTACCATATTATTCTAGCTTAGCAACATTAAATATCAGCATATATCGTTCTAACAGAATATTTTGCTCTTAAAATAAAAAATTTCACAGTATAGAAGCAGTAACGCGTTGATCTATATCTATTTTTTATTTCTACACTTTCTGAACTGATAGTGCACACGGTGCAATAAGCTGAAATTAAATAAACGTATATTTGCTTCACTTCAACTAATGTAGGAATAAAAAATAGGCTTTATGAGTTTTTAAGAAGCTTCTTAGGATGTCAAAACGCTAGGGGCGCCACAACTTATAAAAAGAAAATTAAAAGACGTTAGGTAATTTAAACAAGCGCGTCTGAGGTACTATTTTAGGTGCGTTCCACTCAACGTTTGCTACGATTGCGTGCATCATTTCATTCTTATTGTTTTCAAATGTTAAAGGGTGAAATGATGTTCGCGAGTGTTGCGAACGTTAAATGACATGTCCTTTATAGATCATTGCAACGATAGATAACTACTGTCATTAACGTGTAATTTAGGTTTATCCCCTTTACTGCTTTACAGTACCTAATTGAAATATAATTATCGTTTTATTCAAAATGATGACCCACAGCTCTGAGATAAGTATTGCATCTATTGATGAGAGAAGTGGCAACTGATAGTATGTGCCTGTAATTTCTTTGCACGCTTGCAATGTATTGTCCTTCGTTTAACGATCATTAACAAGCACTTCGTACATTTTTTGCTTCAGAGCAAAACCAAGAGATATTTTAATATTATTCATTTCTGTAGTTTTATGACTTATGAAGCCACTATCTCTTAAACGAAGCATTTGAGAGCAAACTTCCAGAGGAAAATTTTGCTTCTTTCGAGGTCTTAAATTTATATTTTAAGTTTGACGGTTTAACAAAGAAACTCCTTGTATAATTTAAAAAAAAAACTCACGAAATCTAAAGAAATTGAAAGTACTTTTTAGACATTTTTATAAAAATTTAAGTTAAGTATGAAAAATTATTAATAAATAAAAATATTGTAAGATATGAGATTTTTTTCACTAGGGTAACACGACGTTAAATGACATTGCGATTTTCGAAAATAATATAAAAGTGTGGTACAAGCGCAAAGTGCACTCGTCCAGTCATGGGCGTCGACTTTTGTAGGGAATGTGTGGAGTACTCCACACATCAAAATTTTTCATGTGGAATTCCACACATGAACTATTTTTTGAAAATAATTAGTGTTGATAATAACTAGTATTTTTTTCTACTTTGAGAAAGTTGAATACATATTTGCATTCTACGATGCAGCAATTGAATTTAATAATTATATTGTATGCGTACTCCGATGTTGTTGAGACTGTGGATATTGACGCACTTATGAATGAATTCATTATAAAAAATAATATTTGGCGTTTTCGACAATAGCTTTAAGTGTTTCAATAAATTGAACGAAAATATTTATAAGAATTTATTATTAGAAGAATTTCATTGCTTCTTATTCTGTTATAGTCTTACTATGAAAGTCTATAAAGAAGTCTATAAAGAGATTTTGAAAGTAATGATGAAAATTTTATTGTGCCCTACCCCTTTCCGTCACGTTGTTCAACTCCACACATATAACAAATTGACAAGTCAGCGCCCCTGCGTCCGGTGTATTAACTCGTTAAATCATGAATGTCGTATGTCATCGTGTATCCGGATATATTTGACGTAAATGTCAATTACGGCATCATGACATACGACTGTGAAAATTAAAAAACAATCACTTTTACTTCCGAAATGATTAAATAAATATTTCGCGAAAAGGAAGAATAATGACAGAAAGGATCCTATACCAACTTTATAGAAATTGAGTTTTCCATCTAATTGATTACATTTTGGATATGTTGTAGTCCTCATCATTCTGAACAAATGTTTCTATGGAATCAACATTCTCCTATAGTTGTTGCGTTACATAAGTCCTGAAAAGTTCAGATTCAAGCTATTTATTAAATTGATGATTTCCGTGTATTATTGATATTATATCATTATTGACAGACGTATAATGGGTATTTACGTGCGTGTGTGCTCTACAAGCGCATAACATTATTTAATATGAAGTAATATTTTAGGCATTTTCTTAGAATATTAAATGTAACATTTTAAGAATATTTTATTAAAATTATATAATATTACATGATATTCTTGAAATTTAATAGAAGGTTATGTGTCCACTCCTGATAATATTATATGATTATTAAAAGTAACATTTATTTAATGTTATTGTAATATCGTATAAACATTACAAAGTATTATAACAGGGCGCATTTACTTTAATTTGTAAAACTATTACATCTGTTCAGTATAAGTATACGTTTAAAATCTGAAAATGATTTTGGCGCGCAGTTGTAGAACTGAATATGTACTTAAAATCACGTCGAAACGATTTTATAGTACAAGATGCAGTAGAGACTGACAAGAAGTTTTCGTTACTGGATTGTGAATTCAAATTACACAAAATTAAAAATAATTAATATTTATAAGTATTTTAATAATATATATATATTTCAGAGAGGAATATTAAGATATATAATACTTAGGATATTATATAATATAAGTGGATATACTATAACCTCTATAGAATACTATTGTAATATTAAAAAAATATTTATGATATTCTCGAAATATTGTAATAATTATTTTAATTTTTTAATAATATGCATAAATTCTAAGAACATTTTGCGCTTATAGGGTGCGTTCGTGCGTGCGTGCGCGTGTGTGTGTGCGTGTGCGCGCGTACTCTCTTATGTACATATATTTATGTATATACTGGATGTCACGTTTTTAGTGACAATTTCAAAATAGCTCTTAAACAGTGCATTTTAGAGAAAAATGTTCCAGATGAAAGTGGAGTGATTTCAAGGGCGATGTATTTTGGTCGCGTTGTTTTTTTTCAAATGGAAATGTCAAGAAGATATGAGGGTCACCTTGACTTTTTTAAATAAAATTATATGATTTTTTACACAATATGATTCTTCTAATTATTCTTCATATAAAAATATTAAGGTAGATATCGAAAAATCAATAGTTTTTGAATATGTCTTATACTTTATTCTGGTACATCATGACATGTAATATTATATATCTCGTAATTTATTAACTTTTTGATAATCATACCTTAACACTGTTTTGCACAGAGTATTAATAATTGAGATGAATCAATTGGTTTAAAGAATACATCTATTCCTCAAAGATACCAGGAGGTTTGCGGGTTATCGCCGTGTTTTTATCGTCCATTGCTAATGCCAACGTTTCGTGAATCTTGAAAGAATACATCTATTCTATTAAAATATCTGTTTTTATAACATGAACCAGGCTAAACGACGTGGATGAATAGGTGTATTCCTTACAATTGATTCATCTCAATATTTTGTGCATAAAAGTTAGTATTAAGCTACGATTATCAAAAAGTTAATAGTTTACGAGACATTTAATATTTCATGTCAAAATATGTCAGCATAAAATATAAGTAACTCGAAATTTAAACTATTGATTTTTCGATATCTCTATATTTTACTTTTATATGAAGGAATTAGAGGATTCATACCTTTATATATAAAATTAGAGAAATCATATTATGTAAAGAGGTCATATAATCTCATTTAAAAAGTGAAGGTGACCTTCAAATTTTTTTGGGACCTCCACTTAAAAAAAAAAACCAAAATACGTCCCCTTCGAAATCATTCCACTTTCACTTGAAACATTTCTCTCTAAAATGCACTGTTTAAGAGATATTTTAAAATCGTTTTTTAAAATAGGACATCTTGTATATACGTGAACACACACACACACACACACACACACACACACATACACACACATATCTATTATATATATATATATATATCTGTCAATAATAATGTAATGTCAATAATACATGGAAACCCAATTTAAAAAAAAATGGCTTGGATCTGAACCTTCCAGGACTTGTAGTGTAAAAACTAGCCATAAGAGGAGGTTGGTCAGAAGATTTGGTTCAGAATGATGAGAACTACAACATATCCAAAATTTGGCATATTCGATAGAAAGTCAATTTCCATAAGGTTGGTGCGTGTAGTCCTTTATTCTACATTGTATGTAGATAAAGAAAAATTTGTTATTATATAATTAACACAAAATATAAGAAAATATAGCGATATATGATCTATTTTTTTATTATAATATTACTAATTTAAAAAATTATCAATCAATAGGTGCGTTCAGCAGAACGAAACAATTTTGCAACCGTTTTATTATTGTCTGCTGAACGGTCCTAGATATACTCAGCGTCTCAACATGTTTATTCAGTGGTCGCCATGATTTCTAACAAATTAGGCTGCAAAGTATGGCGGCAAAGTATGGCTGCAAATCGATTGCATCTCTTTATCAAATATGTACTACTCTTCACAGTATTGCATTTCAGGATTCTATATATATTTTTTTTACAAAAAATATCACAAATCATATTGTGGAATTCGGAAGCTAATTTTTGGATGTCTTTCGTGTTTCACTCAAAATTTCACACAGACTCGAAACAACACAGCACCAGAAAATAATCCTGAAACACAATACTATATGATGATTAAATATTTGATAAAGAGATGCAATCGCTTTGCAGCCATTTTGCTCAACACATTTCGTTTGTGACTTAGCATACTTTTATTTTGGTGGAAATCATGGCGGCCACTGAATAAACATGTTGAGACGTTGAGTGCATCTAGGACCGTTCAGCAAACAATTATAAAACGGTTGCAAAACTGT